GATTATCTTCTGTGTCTGTGTTAATTGGTTTCCCTTTTCTTTGTTGAAGAGGGTCTGTGCAGTCTTTCTGCCTAGTCTGCCATCTTGCCGGAACCTCCCGTATGAATTTTTTGATGTTCAATTAAATTTGACGTCTGGGAAAAAGACTGCCCACAGATACCACATACAAAAGGAGTCCTTCCTGTGTGAAATTTCTCATGTACTATGAGGTGTGACTTTTTTCTGAAGCCTTTATTGCATTCACCACATACATATGGTTTCTCTCCAGTGTGAGTTAGCTGATGAGTAACGAGACTTCCCTTCTGGTTGAAGCCTTTTCCACATTCACTGCATGTGTAGGGTTTCTCTCCACTATGAATTCTCTGATGAATAATGAGATTTCCTTTCTGGGTGAAGCCTTTGCCACATTCATCACATACATAACGTTTCTCTCCAGTATGAATTCGCTTATGTGTGGTGAGATTTCCTCTTCGGGTGAAAGTTTTTCCACATTCACTGCATATGTAGAGTTTCTCTCTAGTATGAGTTTGCTGATGAATAATGTAATCTCTCTTCCGTATGTAGCTTTTTCCACATTCAGGGCATACGTAGGGTCTCACAACACTATGACCACATTGATGAATACTGAGATTTTGCTTCCGGATGAAGCCTTTCCCACATTCACTGCATATGTAGGGCTTCTCTCCACTATGAATTTGCTGATGGATAATGAGATGTCCCTTCCGGATGAAGCCTTTTCCACATTCATCACATGTGTAGGGTTTCTCTCCAGTGTGAGTTCGTTGATGAATGATAAAATCTCTCTTTCGTACGAAGCACTTTCCACATTCAGTGCATACATAGGGTTTCTCTCCATTATGATTTCGCTGATGGACTGTGAGATATTGCTTCCGGATGAAGCCTTTTCCACATTCACCACATGTGTAGGGTTTCTCTCCAGTATGAGTTCGCTGATGAATGATGAAATCTCCCTTCTGTATGAAGCCTTTTCCACATTCAGTACACATATAGGGTTTCTCTCCACTATGAATTCGCTGATGAATAATTAGATTTCCCTTCTGGCTGAAGCCTTTGCCGCATTCACCACACACATAGGGTTTCTCTCCAGTATGAGTTCGCTGATGAATGATGAAATCTCCCTTCTTTATGAAGCCTTTTCCACATTCGATGCACACGTAGTGTTTTTCTCCAGTATGAATTCGCTGATGAAGAATGAGATTTTTTTTCTGGGTATAGGCTTTGCCACACTCACGACATTTATAGCACTTCTCGCCTGTATGGGTTTCCTGATGTGTTCTCTGATGTGTTCTGAGCTGAAATTTCGTGAGAAAGCCTTTGCCACATTCCATGCATTCTAAAAGTTTTTCTCCTCTGTGTATTCTCCGATGACATTCAGTTAGCTGAAACTTTCTGGAGAAGGCTTCCCCACACAGATAACTTCTAAGGGATATCTGTCCTATATGAATGGCCTGATGATTAATGAGCCAAGATTTCCTGGTGAAGGCTTTCCCACATTCACTACATACATGCAGTTTTTCCATTTTGTGAGTATTGTGATACTTAATGAGTTGAGACTTAATACTGCTGGATTTTCCATTCTCGAGGATTTTTATTTCAGTGTGAAATTGCTCACAGTTACCATGGAGAGAGTTTTTCTCATTTCCATTAATCTCAGCAGAGTTCTTTACTTCATAGCTTCTGCTCTGGTTATTTAAAGTTAAATTTGATTTCACAAGTTTTTCATGGAGGTCAAACATATTATGATTCTGTCTTAAAAGAAAATTACTCTTAGGCTGATAAAAAATATTCTCCCATGTGTGATGTTCATGCCATTGTTCCAATCTGTTCACCCCGCTTTCATTTTGCTGCTGCCCAGACAGATGATCATGAACTTTCCAAATTTCTAAAAAAGAAAAGAATAATGAATCCTTTCAACATCTCTATTAGTAATAAAGGTGATTTTAAAATGCTTTGAGTTGACTCTTTACTGGCAACCCTGTGAGTATAAATAAAATTCCAAGTTTAATGTCCTGAAAGAGTGGCAAAATACACAATAATATAAATAACTTAAACAGTAAAAGCAGGTAGTGTAGAGACAAGTTTAGATAATACCTTACAAAGAAATACAGATTTGGCTGCTTCTTAAATAAGGCCTTATAAAATACTCAGACTGTAAAATATATATTGTTGTACATAGAACACAGGCTGGAGGGCCACCAGATCCAAAATGGTGAAGGACAGACTTAATCATTCCACAACTCCTTATTTAATGACAACTATGTACCAAGTACCTTTTGGGCTTTGAAGAATGGAGAATGTTACATTTAGGGCAAAATAATTTCCAGATACGCATAGTAAAGGTGTTGGAGATACATAAACATATCTCTTATATTTACAAAGGCAGCACTGAACTTTGGTAAAACCACTAAAATAAGCAAAAAAACACATAAAGAACACTAGCTCCACACTAAAGTCCTGATACATGTCATAACATGGATGAACCTGGAAAACATTATGCTAAGTGAAATAACGTACTCACTAAAGGGCAGATACTGTATGATCTCATTTGTATAAAATAAGCAAAGATATAAAAACAAAAAACTATTACTAATCACCAATGTATGCTCCTCGTTTTGTGATAATTTGAAAAAACATACTGACAATGGCCAAATAACATGAAGTATGTAATTATGTCACTGAATTATACATGTAAATTGCTGACTTGTTGTATATTTGTTGTGTATATTTCCACTACAATTTTTAAAAGAAAGAAAGAAAAGTAGCTGGAAATTGTGAAAAGTAGTTTGAAGGGGTGGGGGGAAGTGCAATAAATGAGGATACATTTTGGAAGGACAGAAGACTCACTGATGGATTCAATGTTGTTGGGTAAAGAAAGTTAGGAATCAAGTGTATTTGGATTGAGCCACAGGGTAGGACTGTCTTGTAACAGGTGAGGAGTATCACCAAAGAATAGAATGGTCAAGCAAATATTCTTAAGTGTATCAAATTTAAGGAAGATATGACATACCCAAGTATAGAAATGAAGATCTTGGAACAAATCTCGAGAAAAGTCTTGAGTGGAGGTACTAAACAAGCAAACTGCAGTATATAAATATGATTTAAGGGCAGTGAACAATGTAAGATCATGTTTAGATAAAATGCATGTAAAATAAGATGAACACTAAGTTTTAATCATTCTCACATACAGAGTTTTGGAACTGAAGAATTTCCCTGAAGGACTAATGTGAATATAGTGGTAACATTTACAATGAATTAGGAAATGAGCAAAATTAGTGAAAATACAAAGGAATGAAACTGAAGTAGACATGAGTTATAATCCAGATTAAACTAGAACTGAGAATGCAAGGTTTTAAAAATGTCTTCTTGGGATAAGAAAGCATGAGGAACAGACCTCTGAAGCAGAGAGCCCTGGAGGAAGGCAACATTCACGGTAACTGGAAGAACAGCTCAGGTTTTAGGTGTACAGTAGTAAAGAAAAGCCTAAACCAATAAGGGATTTTTTTTGGCAGAGAGATGACTATAGTGCCTCTCAGATATTGGGAAGTCAGGGGAATTATTGTCAACATGAGTAATATATATAGAAAAAAGTCTATGTTGGACACTATTAATGGAAATGGAAACTTGACAATCTCCACCAGAAAACAGAAGGAGCTTCACTCGGTAGACTGAAGTAAACTTTAAAGGGTTAGGAGAACAAAGACGCCAATGGGAATTAATTAGGAATTTTGGTGAACATAAGAACAGAGTAAAAGTGCAACTCAGGAAACAGATAAAGGCACAGTGACAGAAAGCTCTTCATCTGGCCCTGGGCTACAGTCTTGCCTGTGATTGGTCAGTTTTTATAAACTTTGGAAGGATTGATCAATGTACTATAAGCTATGGAAATGAAATAAGTACAAACTATGCAAATACAGGAAGTATGATACACTGAAGAGATAGGCCAGTTCCTGGCCCTGTGGGAAAAGCCAGGCCTTAAAACGGACAAGGAGTTCACTTATACACGCAGCCAACCCCACAGAGGTTTCAGAAAGAAGAGAAAAGGCAAGAGAGGTGAGAACAGAGAAGCAGCAGCAGGACAGGATACAAAGAACCTCCTCAAAGAGTTGTAATACACGTCAAGGACTAGTAAACAGAACACAGCAACAGCCCCACAAGACAAGGGCTGCAACACTGAATACAGCAACAGGCCTGTAGGAGGCCCTGTGACAGAGTCGCTGGTGATGGCAGAAACCTGCTGCCAGAAGGGCAGCTAAGAGCAAAAGAACTGCTACACTTACGACTTAGGTTGGAGAGGATCGCAGGGCTGACAGTGGGCAGGCACAGCCAGAAGCAGGCCTGCCAGAGGGGCCCGAGTGAAGGCTGTCCTGAGACAGCTGGGGGGGCAGAATTTAAAGCACACAGAAGGGTTCTTGTAGAACATTACAAGAGGATGTGAAGATGGCAAAGAGGAGAAAATCCTGGAGAGAAGAACACTACCAAACAAAAGTAATAATATATCGATGAAGTAACAGGCATCTGTTCTCACAAAAGACAGATGGGTCTATTTTTCTCTAAACTCCTACAAAGAAGACAAGGTCTCACGGGGGAAACAGACACATGGAGGCTCTGTATGTGTATCCTCATACACCCCTCACTGCTGTGAGGCCTTCTGTCTAGAATGCGACCTCCACAGTGTCCCCTTTACTGGTTTTTGCTCACTCACCTGAAAAGATGCGACTGTCGACTTCATCTAACATAGGCCAGGGCAGGTCTCCCTGTTCCATCCTGGACAGCGCATCAGGTTTGGTAACTTGATACCCTATGTATGACAGAAATTTAGACACAGCAAATTGACCTTGGCTTTGGGATGACTGGAGAATGTTACACCTGGGACAATTTCCCCACATACACACTGAAGGTTTTTTCCCCAAGAGTAGGGAGAACATACCCACTTATTTAGGGCAGCGCAGTGCCTAAGGCATTTAACTGCTAACCAGAAGGCTAGTGGTTCAAACCCACCAGCCACTCCTCAGAAGGAAGGTTGGACAATTTACTTCCATAGTGATACTGCCTCGGAAACCCAAGGAGGAGTTGCTATGAGTCAGATCTGACTCCACGGCAGTGCATTTGGTTTCTTGTTTTTATTTAGCACTAGAGAGTAGACTGAGAATCCACCACCTCAGAGGCCCACAGACATTCCAAAGGTTTCAGCAGCTGAGAAAGGAAAGGTCAAGGATAGGGCATTCTGAGTAACACAGGGAGCTGTCCTCACCCACAGACACCAGGTTCCTATAGTTCTCCACCATCACGTCCCAGTACAGGTCCTTCTGAGCAGGGACCAGGAGCTGCCATTCCTCCCAGGAGAATTTCACAGCCACGTCGTCAAATGTCAGTGACAGTAAGTCCTGTTACAACAGGGTTCTGTTTAGTGAAGTGACTTCCTTCTGATGATACAGTTGAAATCTGAGGAGAGTATTTCTATTCACTTCCTCTATACAGGCTGCTGCATCTATATAACTAGTATTTTAAAAAGTCTAACAAAATAGTCTGTATTTGTGTACTCAACCATCCATCCATCCAGTTAGATGTTTCTATAGCAGTGAAATCCCCTAAGCTAAGAATCTCACATTCTCACACACACACACACACACAGTGTATGTATCTGTACACATGTGTGCATATATGTGTATATGAATATATGTATGTGTGTATATATGTACCTGTACACGTGCGTATACATATACATATATATACACATATATATATACATGTGCGGGTATGTGAGTATGTATATATATTTGTATGCATGTGTATATATGCATGTGTACATATGTATGTACATATACCTGTGTGTATATATATATGCATGTGTATCTAGGTGCGTACACGTGTATATGTATATATACCTGTATGTGTGTGCGTATATGCATATGTACACACATGTGTACATATACGTACCTGTGTGTATGTATATATGCATGTGTATGTATATATGTATATGTATATACATATGTACCTACATGTCTATGTATATGTACCTGTGTGTGTGTATATTCATATGTATACAGATGTGCAGGTATGTGTATATGTATGTACTTCTGTGTGTGTGTGTGTATGCATATGTATATACATATGTAGGTATGTCTGTGTGTATTTTGCCACCTATTTGCTAAGAGATACATAAATGTTGTGACATCAAGAAAATAAAACACATAGACATATTCAACACAAACCTTCTCAGCCTCTACTAGAATCTACAGAGAACAGCTGTCAGGTATTAGAATGACAAGAAACTATATGCTGACTAAGCATATACAATGAATGGAAGGGAATGAAAAGTATGAAAAATGTGTAAAGAATAAGACACAAGATGACCAGGGAGATTTAGGAAAAATAAACAACATACACACAAAAGAGGATCTATACCCATGTGTATGTATATTACCCGATAACTTAACACCATATCAGCTACACTAAACACATACATCAACAGCAATGTACAGTTGAAGAGATCATGCAAAATGTATCAAAGAGAGAGAGTATATAGGAGAGGTCAGTGAAAGCGTCTTAACACATGACTCTGCATGACATCCCAACGAGAAACTAGAGTGAGGGACCTCCCTCTGCAATCAGAAATATTTTACTCAATGAGAGACCTGGGGCAGGCAGATTGTAAGAGCAAGGATCATTTTCAGCCCTGTGCACAGACCCCTCTCCTTGGGCACGGGTAGCCCTCGTGACTTTCTCTCACCCGGGAGAGTATGGCACAGGTAATGGAGCATCTGTCCATGATTAGATTACACAGTAGACACATTACTTCCTTCCTGCTGGTTTTAATGAAGTAAGTACCTGGGACTGCCTCTGGCCAACACACAATGAGGCACTGAGGTCCTCATGGGACTGCCTCCTGCCCAGAACCCGGTAGTAAATGAAACCCACCCCATACATATATGTTCCTGATCCCATGTCACCTGATGTTAAAGTCAGCATCTAAGTTTATTTCTCTCCAGTTCCTACATTTCCAAATGTATACTTTTCAGATGAACTGGTCTTTTCCAGGCCTCTACAAAACCATTACAGAACAAAGAAAAGCATAAAACAAACCAAAAGTCACCTGAGCCTTGATCATTTTCTTTAGTTTTTCAGACACGGGCCAGCAACTGTGATGCTCTCTGTCTTTGTCTTTTCTGGATCAGCTTAAACATTTGTTTAGAAATTTCAGTCTCCTGTGAAGGGTGTCCCCAGAAATGACAATATGCAAATCCTGCAACCCTTTTCTTTTTCCTTCAAGTGATTCTCTTGCTGCTGGGGAGTCAGGACCTGTACACTGAAGGGAAAATTCAACGTGAGCAGTACATTTCCTCTGGGCCATCACTGCTTCTGGCACACATCTTAGCACAAGGCTCCCGATACTGCTGACTGTCCCAGAACATTTTACACTCCCGGGCAATAAAACTTAAGATTCAGAATTTGCAGTGATAAGGGCAAAAAAGTCTTTGCAAAAAGTGACACTTGGACAATGACATATACATGCGAGAGGAAAACTAACATTTTCATACCTCACAACATATAAAACTAGCAATCTGAGGTCAACTGTGACTGTCCGTGAAAACAATGCAGTGAATTACTTGCTATGGTTTTTCTAGCCATTATCTTTGTAACTCCACCAGATTACTGAGTGGGACCATGCAAATAAGGTGTGTGGAACTCTGACGTGGGGATTGGTTAGTTCTGCCAGGCTTAAGATGAGCCCTCCTGGAGGCAGGGAAGGGATATCACTGCCATCAAGAGAGAAGAGCTGGAGGTGAAGTGGAGCACATCCTTGGACCCAAGATCTCTGTGTTGGACCTCCTTGGCAGAGACACCTGACTGAGAGACACGCCCAGCTGAGAGAAGGCAACATTGGAGCCAAGAGGCAGGAGACAGAGCAGTAGGCTCTCTGGCCCATAAAGCGAGAAAGCTGAGTGCCTTTGAGCAGGGGGCTTGCTGGCAGAGTGGGATGCACTTAGGTGTCCCTCAGCAGAGCTAAAAGAGCTTTGTAATACTTTTCTGAGTGAGCCAGGAGCCAGGCAGAGAGGCCAAGGTACAGAGTTGTGCCTAAGGGCATAGCAGAGGGGAGATTGTCCTAATTGAAGGACTATATCCTGAGTGCATTCCTGAACCTGAATCAGAACCTTTTGCTTCCCTAATAAACCCCACAATCATGAGTATTGTCTTTGAGTTCCATTTGGCCACTGCAACGAATTATCGAACTCAGCAGAGAAGTAGTGAGTGCCATGGGAGAGATAGTTGGTATCAGTTAGTAAAAAGGTTGGAGGATGGTGGTATACTGGCCTCATAGGAATAAGCCTTGGGCTGCTGACGGTGATTCTGTCTTCCTCTTGTGAAGTTAGAGGTCACAAGATGCCGCCTCAATGCCCTTTAAACATCAGGGAAGTAACAGACTACAATACAGATTCAGGAACACTCTCAGGATACAATTCTTCGATCAGGACAGTCTCCCTTCTACTGTGCCCTCAGGCTCACCTCCCTGGCCCTTGGCCTCTCTGCCTGGCTCCTGCCCTGATCAGACAAGTGTTACAAAGCTCTTTTTAGCTCTGCCAATAAGTACACCTAGGTCTATCCCACTCCACCAGCAGGCATCCTGCCCAAAAGCATTCAGCTTTTTCTCTCTATGGGCTGGCAAGCTTGCCACTCTGTCTTGTGATTCTTGGTTTCACTGCCACAGTCTCTCAGTCAGGTGTCTCTGCCAAGGAGGTCCAGCGCAGGGATCTCAGGTCCAAGGACACACTCCACTTCACTTCCAGCTCTTCTCTCATTTTTGACGGCAGTGAGATCCTCCTCTGCCTCTAGAAGAGCTCATTTTAAGCCTAGCAGAGTGACAAAACTAACCAATGCCCACATTAGAGTTCCATGCACCTTATTTTCATAGTCCCACCCAGTAATCTGGTAGGTGTCACAAAGACCGTGGCTAGAAAAGCCATACCAAATAATTCACTGCACAGCAACATGTAAGTATATATCCACCGCAACATCTAAGTATGTATCTCTCATAATGAATGCACATTTGGACCATAAGGCATGCACCAATATTTTTCAAGGAGTATCATTTGCAGTACTCCAAACTTCTATTATTAAATGTATAATAGGAAAAACAACACAAAACAAAACCCTATATTCAACCAATGGAATGCTATATATAGAGTAACTAAAGCTTTTGGCTTGCCTTCAGGGTAAGGATGCCCTGTACATTATTTAAAGAGTTGTTAAAATACAAAAGGAAACAACAAGAAAATCAATGTGAGAGAACTTACATGGCCTGCAAAGTCTGAATGATGTACTACATAACCATTCACAGAGTAAGTTTGCAAACCCTGGTTACAGAGCGAAATCAACACATTCCTGGGTAACTATGTGAACAAATCTTACAAATATAAATTGGACCAAACCAATTCTGAATTTTAAAAATGGGTTACACACAATTCTATTTATACATAGGTGAAAATAGGCAAAAACTAAATAAAGTATAATGATTAGAGAAACTAGATTAATGGAAATCCAACAACCAGAATGGAAATCATGAGGATGTTCACACATTGTAAGGGACGTAACCAGTGTCACTTAACAACTTGTGTAGAAACTGTTGAATGGGAACTTAAATTGTGTAAACCTGTGCTGAAAACACAATAAATGATCATTTTTAAAGAGTTATAATGACTGAAAAGAATTAAGTACATAGTAAAACTATAAAGCAAAGCTTGGAAGTGCCTGCTATAGAGATGAATGGTAATGACCTTGGGGTGTGAGCTCTGCCTGTGACTGGGAAAAGGTGGCACTTGAGTGCTGGCCATGTTGTTTCCTCACCAGGCAGTGGTTAGTTACATGTATACTGCCTTTAAAACAGTTCACTTCACCCTTTAGACCTGAAATTGAACTCACTCTTGTGGCTAAATTTCTAGCCAAATACACAGACCAATGAGGTGAACAATTACATCAGGTAGGTACGTAAGGTCCTTAGAACAACCAACCACGGGAGATCAGAAGGGCAGTGTTTGCACAGGGAGACAGCTCAGAGGGCAGGAGTGCACAGGAAAGAAGGACACAGGGAAAAGGCAACCACAGTGAAGAGTGGGAAGAGAGCTGTTTCATTGTGGGGAACTGCAGTCAATGTCATGAAACAACCTTCAATGGAAAACGACTTAAATCACAATGGGAAAAAACAGAAAAGATACAATGATTCCATTTTACTTTTTTTTTTTTCAAGATAAATATAGAAAACTTGAAGGAATGGAAGCACTCAAAAATTCTAAAAGTGAAACGGAAGAGACCAGAAATATCAAGCTTGTTCTTTGATAAGATCAATAAAATACACACAGTCATAGTGAGATGTATCAAAATACGAACACAAGAGGCACAAACAGAGAAAACAGGGACTCCACGTGAGAAATGACCCAGACAAGGTCTCCCTCACGACTCACCTCTATTTTGCAGCGCGAAGGCAGCCCCAGACCGCTGGGCGGCGTGGTGGCTTCCTCCCTTAGACAACAGTCAGCCAACTGTGGATAAGAAAACGGAATCATCCAAACCAAGGCTTGGCAACTACTGCCCCGGGAATACACCGCCTTCTGTCCCAGGAGCCGAGGCTCCAGGGGTCCTGGGACCCACAGCTCGGTCCTCACAGTCCTTGGTACCACAGGCACCGACCACGCTCACGCCCTTATTAGCGCGAAACCCGGACCAGGCGCCCCCTACGATGTCCATCCCCCGGGGTCCACTTCAACCCCGTACTCGATCCGGAACCCGCTCCAGACACGGCATTCACTGTCAATACCACCTCCACCCCTTCCTAGCAGAGTGATCCGCAAAGACCCCCGAACCCTGACGACCGTTGTACAAAGGCGCGCCCCCTACGGCTGATCCAAAAGCCACCGACTCCCTCCGGCTTCTTCTCAAGCACCTCCAGCCCGACGCTCTCCTCAGGGCCTCCACGGGTCCCCACTACTCAACGTCCACACACTCCCCTGTCCTCTGCTAAGGACAGAATACACATTAACCTGTTTCTCCCCGCAAAGTTGCACTTCTTCCGCGAACGGCTTCAGCTTTTCGGCGGCTCACGCAGGAACCCAGTCCGCCTACCGGGACGGCGAGTCTGGCGCTTTAGAGGACGCACGGACAATGGGACTTCCGGCAGGGCCTTATGGGTAATATGTCTGCGCCCTGCCATTCGTGTGGCTCTGGAGGCAGCCATATTTGAAAACCTGCTGCGGAACGCAGAACCCAGAAAACAAACTCTCTGCCTTGGAGTTGATTCTGACTCATAGACCCCCACTGGATTTCCGGGGCTATAAGTCTCTAGGGAAGCAGACTGCCTCATCTCTCTTCCCCTCAGCGGCTGATGTGTTGGAAACACCCACCTTTGGGTTAGTGGCCAAATGCTTTAGCCACATCACCAGAGCTCCCCCCTTTTTTTATCTTCCAGGTTTTTTTTAATTAATGTATTTTATTTTTGTTGTTGTTGAGAATATATACAGCAGAACATACACCAACAGTTTCTACATGTACAATTCAGTAACAATGTATCATACTGTTTTTTATTATTTTTGCAGTGTTCCCTCCTCTCCCTCTCACCCCTGGTAACCAACAGTTTCCTTCCATATATAAACCTTTCCTTCACTTTTTACAATAATGAACAATACATTTCTCCTTCTGTAATTGACTTATTTCACTCAGCAAAATATTCTCCAAGTTCATGCACGTTACGTGGTGTTTTGCACATTCTGCATTATTCTTTAGGGTTGCATAGTATTCCATGGTGTGTATGTATCATAGTTTGGTTACTCATTCTTCTGTTGATAGGTGCCTAGGTGGTTTCCACCTTTTTGCTATTGTAACTAGTATTCTGATGAACATGGGTGTGCATGTATCTGTTCTCATCCTGGCTCTCACTTCTTTAGGATATGTACCTAGCAATGGGATTGCTGGGTCAAATGGTATTTCTAAGTCCAACTTTTTAAGGAACCGCCATACTGCTTTCCATGGGCAGAGCTCCCTTTTTTTTCTGACACAAAGTTCAAGGGCTTAATGAGTCACACACTAACCAAAAGGTTAGCAATTGGACTCCACCCAAGGCCTCCGTGGAAGAAAGCTGAGGCAGTCAGCTCTTGTAAAGGTTGCAACATATAAAAATCCACTAAGTGGCACCCAACAACATTACAAGTTGAGAAAGTACTGGAAGACAAGAAAGCCACCCAAAGTGTCCCATTTCCTGGCTTTTCCACCCCTGTAGTAAATGGATAGATTTTTTAATTTCTCAAGAAAAACATGACAGGTGTTTGTTCAATACAAAGATGAACAGCAGACATCTTACTTTGATTTTACAGGTTTTCTTACCCACCAAACCAATCACAAAAAGTCTAACACAAACTGCAAAAACCTGCCTCCTCTAACAGCTTTTAATGTATGTAAGGAGATCAAAACTGTAATGTGAGGAGAACTTCTTTGGAGGTGTGCTATCTGTTCCCAAACAGATCTTTTTATGCCCAATTACACCTTTTCACTCGAAATGACTTATTTATCAGATTTTTCTCCTGACAGGGACGAGGCAAGAAGTCAGTAAGCAGACCACTAAGGAAAGTTTTTCATAGAAAACAGCTTGCAGGGAGTGGCTTTTATGGGCAGAAAAAAAGGTTGAAGCTGGTACTGCATGAGAGTGGCCAGCAGAGACAGGGTGAAAGGTGGCTGGGAAGAGCCGTTATAGCTAGGCATATGGGAAAAGCCAATAAAGTTGGGGTCAATAAAAAGCAAATAGGTTTTTAGGTCTTACTAGTCTGTGATAGGAGCTCTGGTAGCATAGTGGCTAAAGCACTTGACTGCTAACCAGAAGGCTGGCGGTTCAAACCCACCAGCCCCTCCTTGGAAGAAAGGTTGGGCAGTCCTCCTTCCATAGCGATACTGCCTCGGAAACCCAAGGAGGGGTCACTATGAGTCGGGGCCGACTCGATGGCACATAACAACAACAACAGTCTGTGATAGTCTGGAAGCTTCAATGCAAACCTGCACTGATTGACAGGTGGTGGCTACCCTTGACATGCATGGGGCAGGAATGGAAACGAGCCCTCTCACGTGAAAGGGAAGAATTCTATCCCTGAGTATCCACTCTCTCAGCTTACTCCTCATTCATTCCATTACTCAGCCAGTAGTCACTGCACAATTAATGGAGATCTGGGGGGATTATCTGGAACACAGGGTATTGGAGGTGAATTAGAAAAGGTCAAAGGATCACCCCCAACACAACCATGTGCCATCCTCACACTCCACACCACATCCTCTTGATGTTATCACAAAAATAACACTGGGATCACTACCCTTCTCTGTCCTCATTGCTTTATTTCATTTCTATGAATTGCTGCTTCACTTGGCCCCTCACTGGCCCCTACAAGTGACTGTGTAGTCAAAGGATTATTCAACAGATTAAAATGCAATATGGGAAGCCGGGCCTCAGTGCATGACAACCCCTGTTCTCATAAAGCTGTAGATCTATAATTAAGGTTAAAAAAAAAAAAAAAAAAACCCAACTCACTGCCATTGAGATAATTCCAACTCAACAGTGACCCCTTTTGGGTTTCCAAGGCAGCAAATCTTTGCGGAGGTAGATTGGTCAGTCTTCCTTTCTATGGAGTGGCTGGTGGGTTTGAACCACCAACCTCTGGTTAGCAGTCACATGCCTTAGGCACTACACCACCACAGCTCCTTATGATTAAAGCTGGACACACCTAGTTTCTCAATTCCTCCTCTGCTTCTCACTGGAAGAGTTCTGCTGGCGCAGTGCCTAATGCATTTAATTGCTAACCAGAGGCTGACAGTTGAAACCCACCAGCTGCTCTGCAGAAGGAAAATGAGGCAGTCTACTTCCGTAAAGATTTACCTCCTTGGAAACCCAATGGGGGTCGCTATGAGTTGGAATTGACTCAGTGGCAGTGGGTTTGGTCTGGCTTTTGGATCTTCTCACTAGAATAATAAGAACAACAATAATACTTCATTGATTCCTTAATTTCTAGGCATTGTTTTAAATATTTTCAACAAACACCCCATGAAGCAAATAATGACAGGTACACGTTGCTTAATTTCCATTCAGGCAGCATCCCTCCTTTTATTATTTCCCCCTAATGCTCTTAAAGACCCCAAATCCAGACCCTGGCAGCACTGGACCAGTGCAGTGCAGTGAATTGCTTAATATGGTCCTTCTAGCCATAGGCCTCCATTTGTGAGACACTGTAAATCCTAGCGTCTGTGTCTGTGGCTATGGTCCCATTTTGGGGTGAGTTGTCTGTTGCATCGATGAGGCAGGATTTGGGTGGGGTGTGTCTTGAGTTCCATCTTGCTGGGTAATATGACTCAAGTCACCACCCTCAGTTTCCTTGAGGGTGTATGTTATTGTTCTGGCCAAGTTCACTCTCTTGCTCTGGATCCTGAAACTGTTTTATCATCATCTTACCCTCGGTTCTTGGGACAGGACTTGCCAGCCTCCACCACCATGTAAGCCATTTTCTTGGCAGTTATGAGTTCCACCAACCAAGCAACTCACTGCTGTCAAGTTGGATCCAACCCACAACATCCCCTCCTTGGGTTTCTGAGGCAGTATCTCTATGGAGGCAGATCACCCAATCTTCCTTCTGAGGAGTGGTTGTTGAGTCTGAACTGCCAGCCTTCTAGTTAGCAGTCAAATGCTTTAGGCACTATGCCACCAGAGCTCCTTATGAGTGCTGTGAAACCTCGTAGCAAAATACACAACCCTGAGATGCAGGGGAGAGCACTGAGAGGGGGGAGGGGTTACATGTTAGAGAAGATAAGAGTGTAGAGCACTTTGGAAAAGCTGGACGTTTGGGACATAGTTAACCTCCACCTTGTAGAGACCAGCTTTGTGCTGATCCTCGTGAAAGAAATGATTTACACAACCATGGACAGGATACAGGCAGCAGAGGCAGAAGACAGGGCTCTGAGCACAGGCTTTGAGGCACTGTCCAGTGGGGAGGTGATAGGAGCGATGCTGAAAGATGTGACGCCAAGGCTGCTTTCCAGAGCAAAAGAACTATGCCAGAACATTAATCTCTATGGGATGCAAACAATACTGCAAAGAAAATTCCTCTTACTTGAGCAAGGCAGTGCATGGGTGTCAAGCACAGTGACTGGGGTAAGGATGGTAACTCGAATCACACTCTTTAGTAAGTCAGTGACTCAAGATATAACCCACTTTAATCCTGCTTCATTAATATTACAGACATCTCACTCCCAAATGGGACCATAACCACAGGCATTGAGGCATATAACAAAATGGAGAATAATTACGTCATTGTATTTCTGCCAAATTGCACCATTACCTAACTGGCCAAATCACTGAACACCATGGCCCAGTCAAAAATTAATAAATAACCTGAATGATCACAAGTTCCATATTTGCATTATGAGCAAGCTATCCAATCCCCTTGGTGAGCCACAAGTCCCTTATTTGCATAGTCCCACCCAATCATTGTGTGGGAGTCACAAAGACTATCGTAGACAGGCCATGTTAAGTAATCCCCTGCACCACAGCCTATCCCCTGGCTTTTATACCCATTGGCCCTTTTATTGAAGGAACAACTTCCCCCTCCCAATGACTAGTTCAAAACAGTAACTAAAAATTAGTCCTTCAGTAGAGCAAGAGTCTTTAGGATGAGGTTACAGTCACACAGGTTTACCATGGGTATCCATTTGACCTAATCAGGTTCTCCAATAGGTTCACCCTGTCTGGCCTCTAAAAAAGTGAGCTGAGCGATTATTCTCTGGCTCTGAGTTTCTATCAAGGTACCACCATAATATTAGATATTCCCCTGCTACATAAACTATTTATTACTTTTCTTCAACTATTATTTCTCCTTCCTCCCATTTGTCATTTATTTTTACCCAACATTTTCCACTTTGGGAAGGAACATCAGGTTCGGCAGCTGCACCAGTCCAGATGGCTGGTGGCAAGTTCAGTCTAACAAGTGCCTACCCCTCAATTCACTCTCATTCACATTGGGTAGGATTACATGAGTACAACACTAACGGATTATCTCAACCATTAGGCAATATGGCAGTATTCACTATCAACCCCATTTTGGCAGATGGGGACCAAGTACAATACATCCCAGCAGGCCCGTGGGAATTCTAGCATGTAGGTTCATGGTTACTATCTCTTTCTTAGGGATCACCCCTGCTTCAGACATCTGCAGATATATTGGATAATGGAATTGTTTTTTATTTCCTCTTAGCACAAGGGGTTGTCTACGCTATAACCAACACCTCATGCTGTACCTGGATTGTTGCATCTGGATTAACACATCCAGTTAAGTAGAACACATTGAAAAAATGCATCAAACAGCTACTTGGTTATGCATTGATCCTAAGCATACTTTTCCTTTCAATATCCTTAACTGGCTCCCAAAAGGTATTAGCTCCTAGCTATGCTGTGTAGTCTAAACAAGACCAGTTATTCCCCTTTTTACTGTAATTCTCCTGTTTAATTAAATGTTGCTTCTACTACATCACTTGCTCTGTACCTAAGGTGCTCTGGTGGCATAGTCGGTAATGTATTTGACTGTTAACCAGAAAGTTGGTGGTTTAAACCCACCAGCTACTCCATGGAAGATGAGGCAATCTACTTTAAAGATTTACAGCCTTAGAAACACAATGGGGGTCACTATGACTCAGAATTGACAGTGTATTTGCTGTCAGTGTATGGCAGTTTATTTGCTCTGTACCCAAACATTTAACCCCACTCACAAACAACATTATCTTCCTCATTGTCTATGCAGTCCAATTTTGTATGCATTAGTCACACACAGCTATTGAACATGTGAAATGTGGCTAGTGCAACTAGGGAAATTAATTTTATATTAAAATTTAGTCACGTTATTACTGTCAAGTTATTTATATTCAACTTGGGTATAAATACTCAGAAAACTACCAAAGAATTTAAAATAACTTGAGGAGAAAGAGAAAAACTACCAAGAAATTTATAAGCTACCTAGGGAGATATGACAGGAGCATTAAAAAATAGCTTAGTTGGTTCATTAGCCGCAGTGAATGTATCTGATTTAATCCTATGAGTTCTATGGGACATAAAATAAGACGTTAATAGGTCACTGTAGGCACTATCACATTCACTGAATTTACTCATTCTTCAGTACCATTAACGAGTCCTCTACAAGGGTGCCTACCCTAAGAGTGATCGGAAGTACAAATTGTTAACATGCTCAGTAGCTAATCTGAAAAACTGGAAGTTTGAGTTCTCTCAGAAGCACTTGTAACCAAGGTCTGGCTATCTACTTCCCAAAAACCAGCCATGGAAAATCCTAGGCACAGGAGCTCTATCCTCAAACACATGGGGTCACCGTGAGTGGGAATCAACTCACTGACAACTAGATTTTGACAAGCAATTGTCATTAGATGTGTTTAGGACTTAAAACTCCTAAACTTTCTCATCACAACCCTTGTATCAATTATTCCACATCTATTTCACCTAATGGAGATATTACATCATCCTTTGATTAGCAGCAGTGTCAAGATCCCATTTAAGTATAATCCAATTAACTCAATGCTCTCCCCAAGAGGGCATAGACGTTTTCTTTTTGATTCACTACTGAATCCTCAGGGCCTGGAAAAAGGGCCAAGTACAAAGGCAGTATGTAACAAATTTTCATTACATTAATGAATAAACTCAATGTAAGGCTACTGTATCATGGGTCCCACTGCATAATATAATTCTGAAAGTTTATGGCACACATTTTGAATTGCAAATGATCCTTCACATTGACCTGGGAAAAACTGAACTGATAAATATGTGCCCTGAATCACAGCCCAATATTGCCCCTTAGGGTTTCTCTGCTAAGTGATTTTTCATTTGCAGCACATGGGGTTGCCATGAACAGGAATCAATTCAACAGAAACTAACAACAAGATGCAATACTGCAGATACCAATGATCTTTTCTGTTTTAGAAATTCATAGTTCACTAGCATGAACTCAGATTTTCATTCATTTAATTGACACAATAATCAATGTATATGAATTTGGTTTAACATCAGATTATGTCTCAGTATCATCAATGCACATATTTATGTACAAGGAGTGTTATCATGTTTTCCTAGTTCGTGCACAGGATTTCCCTCAGAATATACTTTTTAGCCAAACAGTGAAGTAGAAATTTTTGCTAATCACTAACCCTGGTGAATGTATCTGAGTTTATCCTATGGGTTTTGTGGGACATAAAATAAGATGTAATTGGTCACTGAAGGCACCACCACATTCACTGCATTTATAGGCAATACCACATTCACTGTGTTTGTAATGGTTCTCTGCTGTACAAATCCTCTGTTACATCCGGAGGGTTCACTCCTGGCAACAGGCTGTCCAACAAGGACTACGTTCCTATTTGTTAGGAGCCCACTGATGTGTACTGATGTCTGAGCTGCTACAGGGGGCATCTGCACAGTCACTGTACTAACAGGGCTTTTCTCCTGCATGACGTCACTGGTACGTGATGAACCATGACGTGCTGTGGAAGAGGCTTTCACTATGCCCAAATCCACACATTTCTCTCTTGTATGAATTCTTTTATGTGAAACAAGGCTATACTTGTAAGGAAATGTCTTCCCACACTCACTGCAGCTATATGGTCTCTCTCCTGTATGAGATCTTTGTTGTACAGTGAGTGTTTGCTTCACGGGGAAGGCTTTCCCACCTTCAGAGCTTTGGAAGGGTTTTCCTCCTGTGTGGATTTTTTGATGTTCAAGGAGACTTGACTTCTGGGAATAAGATTGTCCACAGACAATGCATACAAAGGGAGTCTTTCCTGTGTGAAATCTCTCATGTGCTATGAGGTGTGACTTTTTCCTGAAGCCCTTTCCACATTCACCACATATGTAGGGTTTCTCTCCAGTGTGAGTTTGCTGATGAATAATGAGACTTCCCCTCTGGTTAAAACCTTTTCCACATACACTGCATATGTAGGGTTTCTCTCCACTATGAATTCGCTGATGAATAATGAGGTTTCCTTTCTGGATGAAGCTTTTTCCACATTCATCACATATGTAGGGTTTCTCTCCATTATGAATTCGTTGGTGAGAAGTGAGGTTTCTCTTTTGAGTGAAGGCTTTTCCACACTCACTGCATATGTACAATTTCTCCCCAGTATGAGTTCGCTGATGAATAATGTAATCTCTGTTCTGTATAAAGCATTTTCCACACTCAGTGCACAGATAGGGTTTCTTTGAACTATGAATTCGCAAATGAATAATGAGATATTGCTTCCGGATGAAGGCTTTCCCACATTCACTGCACGTGTAGGGTTTCTCTCCAGTATGAGTTCGCTGATGAATAATGAGACTTCCCTTCTGAGTGAAGCCTTTTCCACATTCACCACATCTGTATGGTTTCTCTCCAGTATGAGTTTGCTGATGAAGGATGACATTTGCCTTCCGGATGAAACCTTTTCCACACTCCCCACATATGTAGGGTCTCTCTCCAGTGTGAATTCGGTGATGAATAATGAGATTTCTTTTATGGATAAAGCCTTTGCCACATTCACTGCATACGTAGGGTTTCTCTCCAGTATGAGTTTCCTGATGTATATTGCGCTGTGATTTCCTGAGAAAGGCTTTGCCATATTCCGAGTTTTCGAAATGTTTTTCCCCTCTGTGTGTTTTCCGATGATGCTCGATGAGCTTAAACTGTCTGGAGAAGGCTTCCCCACATAGATAACATTTATAGGGTTTCTCTCCAGTATGAATGATCTGATGATTAATGAGCCAAGACTTCCTGGTGAAGGCTTTCCCACAGTCACTACATACATGCGGTTTTTCCATTTTGTGATCGTTCTGATACTTAATGAGTTGAGGCTGACCGCTGTTGGATTTTCCTTTCTCGGGGATTTTTATTTCAGTATGAGATTGTTCACTGCTACCATGGAGAAAGGTTTTCTCATCTCTAATATTAATCTCAGCAGAGTTCTTTACTTCATAGCTTCTGCTCAGTTTGATTAAAGTTAAACTTGATTTTAGAGACTGTTCATCTAAGTCAAACATATTACGATTTTCCTTGAAAGGTAAATAACTTTTGTGCTGATAAAAAATATTTTCCTGTGCACTATGTTCATGGCACTGTTCCACTCTGTTCACCACTCTTTCATTTCGCTGCTGCCCGGGAGCAGGACCATCAACTTTCCAGATTTCTATGAAAGAAAAGAATAATGAATAATGAATCCTTCTATCACCTCAATTAGTAAATAAAAGTGATTTAGAAATGCTCTGATGTGAAGTGGCTCTTTACTTAAAACCCTATGATAAGACTGTAAATAGAACTGCAAGTTCAATGTTCCTTAAAACACAATAATATAAACATCTCCAACAGTAAGAGCAGACAGTGCAGAGAGTAGTTTAGATAATGCATAATGAAGATATAAAGCTTTGGCTGCTTCTCATGAAATAAAGCCTTGCAAAATATAGAGATTGTAAAATATAAGGAAGTGACTGTAAACAGCAGACCAAAGAGGCTGGAAGGCCACCTCATCCAATATGGTGAAAGACAGACTCATTCATTCACAAATCCTTACTGACAATTATGTACCAGGCATATTGGGCTTTCTGAACAATGTAGAACATTGTATTTGGGACAAAACAATTTTCACAAATGCGTAGTAAAGGTGTTGAGGACACACAAACATATCCTTATGCTCACAGAACTGACACTGAAGTTTGGTAAAACCACTAAAATAAGGAAGGGAAGATATAAGGAAAGTTGCACAGTGAAGTCCTGATGTGTAGTGAACATGGATGAACCTAGAAAACTTTATGCTAAGAGAATTAAGGTAGTCTCTAAAGGGTAAACACTGTATGATCTCACTTGTGCAAAATAAGCAAAGGTATAAAAACAAAAAGTTATCAGTTGTTACCAATGTACGTTCCTGGTGGTGCAATAATTTGAAAACCAATACCGAGGATGGTTGCACAACTCAACTTGAAGAATGTAATCAGTCACCAAATTCTACACATAAAAATTGATGACTTGCTGTATGTTTTGTTATGTTTATCTCCATCCGAATAAACAGAAACAAAAGTAAATAGCTGAGAATTCTCAAAAATAGTTTGAAAGACAGTGGGCAGAGGTGGACAAAATGAGAACACATTTTAGAAGGAGAGAAGGGTCACTGAGGTACTCATTGTTGCTGGGACTTGGGGGAGTGGGGGTAGGGTAAACAAAGTTAACAATCAAGTGTTACTAAGTATTTGGAATGAGCCACCGGGTAGTACTGTCTTCTAATGAGATGAGGAATATCACCAAAGAACACAATGATCAAGGAAACGTTCCTGAGCACATCAACTATAGGTGGTTATGACATATCCAAGTGCAGAAATGAAGATCTAAGAAGGATGCATAAATCTTGAGAGAAGTCTTGAATGGAGGTAACAAATGGGTCAACTTCTGTATGTAAATATGATTTAAGGACCACCAAAACAATAAGATCATGTACATGAAAAAAAGATGAACATCAAGGTTTTAATCACTTTCACATTTAGAGCTTTGGATTTGAAGACGTTCCCTGAAGGAGCAAAGCAAATACGGTGGTAACATTTACAATGAATAAATAATCAGAATTAGTAAATATTAACAAGAATGAAACTGACGTAGCCATGAATTATGATACGGATTTTGTTGGAACTGAGAACACAGTGTTTTAAAAATGTTTTCTCTGGATAAGAAATTATCAGGAGCAGCCGAGAACTTTAAAGCAGAGAACCCTGTAGGTGGGGAACATTCAAGGTAACTGCCAACATGGCTCAGATTTTAGGTGCACAGTAGTAAAGGAGACCCTAAACTGACAGGGTTTTGCTTGGTAGAGAGATGATACTAGTCCTCGCAGATACTGTGAACTGTGATGTAATGAATTACCTAATATGGCTCTTCTAGCCATAATCTTTGTAACGATGTAATCAAATGACTAGGTAGGACTATGAGAATGTGAGGTGTTTGAGGCCCACCAAGGGGAATGGACAGCTTGCCAATAATGAAAATAAGGGGCACAGAACCCGTGGGTGGACAGCACCATGGAAATAAGGAGTATGGAATGCCAACATAGGGATTAATCAATTTGGCCATACTGTAGCCTTAAAGTAAACCATCTCAGAGGTAGATGGGGGATCTCACTACCACCAACATAGAAGAGCCAGGAATGGCACATGTCCTTTGGACCCGAGATCCCTGTGCTGAACCTTCTTGATCAAGGAGAAAGAGAGCTGTGACATCAGAGAGACAGCAAGTGGCAGTGACAGCAAAATGACAGAACCAGAGAAAGCAGAACCAGGAGCCTGGTAGGAGAACTAGGATTTCCCCAAAAGAAACAGGCTATTGGTTTAAATGTAGTAGCCCTGTGCATCAGAGTTGGGTTCTTAGGTCAAAAATCTGAGCCCCACACAGGAAATCTGCATTTGAAAAAGACATGAAAAAGACTTACCCAGGACTGCTGAGAGAACAGGAGATTTGCATGTGAATAAAAGACTTGCACAATGAAAACACGACTGTTTTGCATTTTGAGTTTCAAGCAATTGGCATGCTGTTGGATACACTAAAGCAAGAAAAGCTAGTGCCCATCAAAAGAACCCCCTCGCAGGGACCAGGTTTGCTGAGCCGATAGAGCCTGGTGGAACCACTGTGACTATGGTCCCTAGCTGCCCTTCAGCTCTGGAATTGAACCCACACCTGTGGTTTCCAGCCAAACAAAAGACAGGCACATGAGTTGAACATTTACCTGTGGTAGATACACTCCTTGAAGAGAACAATCATGGGAGAAAGAAGGGCTGCTTATGCACAGGGAGACAGCTCAGGGGGCAGGAGTGCGTGGAGGGATGGACACAGGGAAGAGGTAACTATCAGGAGGAAGTGGGAGGGGAGCTGTTGTATTGTGGTAAATTGTAGTCAATGTCATGAGACAAAGTGTATGTGAACTGCTGTAAGGAACGTGAATTTGCTCTGTAAATTTTCACCCAAATCACAATAAAAAGAAAAGAAAGAAAGAAAGAACCCCCTTGCAGGACTGGATGTGAAAGGGAGCTGGCGAGTAAACAGCCTGGTATGCTTGTTTGTGGTACCCACCTGGGTCCACCTGATGAGTGGAAGAGGGGGAGATGTGGTACTGAAGAGGCAACTGAGTTTGGACACGTTCCATTAGCACTTATTGACCTAGCCCATGAGGGCTAGGTATAAGAGAAGAGGGACTGGCTGGTTTGCAGTGCAAAGAGCCATGTGGTCTCTCGAGCCTAGGAGGGGTGCTCATACACCTAGCCCATGTGCGTTAGGGATGAGGGGGGCGGGGGCAACTGGCTGGTCTGAAGTGCAGCAGTTGTGTGGACTTGTGTGGATGGCTAGGGATGAGCTGAGCTGAGCCTGACCAAACGAAGAGAAAGACGTCTGACACTGAGCTGCTGTGAACCGCTGCATTTGGCTCTGGATGGGACACTGCTTACGGATACAGATGCCCAAACGTCTAAGCAGATGTCTCATGACATTGACTACAATTTACCACAATACAATACTCGGATCAAGGACCAGGCTGACTGCCACAGACTGTTCATTTGGTAAGGATGGGCAATTTAGAAATTGGCTATCTAAATGCACGAAGTGGCTAACTTACATGCTTCCATGAGTGTGCTTACACTTAAAATGATTGGGAAGGGAGTTAATCCTTCATGTTTGAAAGGGCCAGTGACTAGAAGAGCCAGGGGGTGGCCTGTGGTATACTGAATTACTTAATATGGCCCTGCCAGCCATAGTCTTTGTAACTCCCACCAAATGACTGGGTGAGACTATGCAAATGTGAGGTGTCTGAGGTCCACCAAGGTGGTTTCACAGCTTGCTAATAATAATAATGCAAATAAAGGGCACGGCACCTTTGTAAGAGGGTACCATAGAAATAAGGTAGATGGAACCTGAACATGGACACCGGTCAGCTTTGCCATGTTGCTGGGCTTAAAATGGGCCATCCCAGAGGTGAAAGGGGGGAAGAGCCAGAAGAGGTGCACATCCTTGGTACCTGAGATCCCCGCGCTGAACCGCCTCAATCCAGGAGACAGACAGCTCTAACGCCAGGGAGACGGCTGGAAGCAGTGCCACCGAAAAGGCAGGAGCGGAGGCACAGCAGCTTCTGCACCCACGGAGCAAGCATCTCCGGGAGGGAGGCTTCCTGGTACAATGGGGCGCCTTGAGGCACTTAATGGCAGAGCTAAACAAGCTCTGTAACAGTTCCCAAGCAGGGCAGAGGCCGAGGGGCCACAGGACTGAGAGAGTGAGGGTCACAGAGGCGTGCAGTGGGCCCAGCTGAGAAGAGGCAGGCCTGATGGATGAACTAGATCCTGAGTTCTTCCTGATCCTGAATTGTAACCTGTTACCCTAATAAACCCCACAGTCATGCTGTCTTGTGGATTCTGCGCTGCCACTGCAATCCTGCTCCCGAGCTGTATGTTACCTCCTTAATAAACCACTTAACCGCAAGCACAGCTTGTTAGTTTTTATGGCCACAGCTATGAATTATTCAAGCTGGCCGAGAGCAGAGTGCACCGTGGAAGGGACGGCTGGTGTCAGAAATGGTAAAGAACTTGGATTCACCACGAGTTCACTCCATAGGAATCAGCTTTGTGCTGATGTTGATTCTCTTATCTTGCATTTAGAGGGCTGCAAGAGCTCCTAGAACATTACAAATGGCAAAGACCTGAAAATCCTAGGAAGGAAACTATTAGAACTGTCAAGATAGGGATGGGAATCAGTTCTCAGAAGACATGGATGGGTATAATTTTCTCTAATCTCCTACAAAGAAAATGAGGTCTCTCACGGGGACAGGGATACACGGAGGCCCTATACGTGTATCCTCAGACACCCCTCACGCTGCGAGGCCTTCTCTGCCTACAATGAGACCTCCACAGCTGTCCCCCTTACTGGTTTTTGCTCGCTCACCTGAAAAGATTCGACTGTCGACTTCATCTAACATAGGCCAGGGCAGGTCTCCTTGTTCTAACCTGGACAGAGCATCAGGTTTGGTAACTTGGTACCCTGTTCACGGGAAATGACAGAAATTTAGACACACAGTAAATTGGCCGTGGCTTTGGAATGACTGGAGAATTTACATTTGGGACAAAACAATTTCCTCACATACACAGTGAAGGTTTTTCCCTCAGGAGTAGGGAGAATACATCCACTTATTTAGGGCTGCGAGTCCAGAGACTGGACTGCAAATCCACCGCCTCAGAGACCCACAGGCATTCCAAAGCTCTCAGCAGCTGAGGAAGGAAAGGCCAAGGATGGGGCATTCTGAGTGGCCCAGGCAGCTGTCCTCACCCACGGCCACCAGGTTCCCATAGTTCTCCACCATCACGTCCCGGTACAGGTCCTTCTGAGCAGGGGCCAGGAGCTGCCACTCCTCCCGGGTGAACTCCACAGCCACGTCCTCCAGCGTCAGCGATTCCTGTGGTAACAGTGCCCTGTTTAGTGATTTCCTTCTGGCGACACAGGTCAAATCTGAGGAGTGTATTTCCGCACATTTCCTCTATACAGGCTGCTGCATCTCTACTCCTAGTATTTTAAAAATCCTAACAAAATATTCGGGAGCTCTGATGGCATAGTACCTAAGACATTTGACTGCTAACCAGAAGGCTGGTGGTATCTGTGTATTCAACCATCCATCTGTTCATCCAATTAGATGTTTCTATGAAGTGCAGCAGTGAACCTCTCTAAAGCAGAAATATTTCAAACAAACACACCACAGAAAGGATGCAGAGGCAGCATCTTCTGACCTCCTCCCATGTCATGAGGGGGAAACAGAGTCACCATCAACAGCCCAAGGCTTATTCCTATGAGGCCAGACATGCCGCCACCCTCCAGCTTTTTTTTTTTTTTTTACCAATTCTGACACCAACCATCCC